GTCTTCCAAAGAGGGAAAGGTGAACTTGGAGTGCACTGGTAAAAGACAGACAACATCCCACTGGGGACAGCTTTGGAAGTTTCCTACAAGGCCTTGGCTTGGACACTTACTGCGTACAGGCCAGAAAATTCTATGACTTTACAAACACTAGAACTACACATCCTCCCACACTGAATCCAGCAGCAGCAACATAATTCTCAGTGGCTTCACAAAGTGATGTGGGCTGCAGGTGATAGAGTTTCTCAAGGGCAGTTAGAAAAGCCAAAGAGATGGTGGGCTATTAGTACACAGTGTGGTCTGGTCTTCCTGCAGCCAGGAAAGGCTCAGCTTCAACAGATGCTAGTCCAGCACTCAGTAGGTGGCTTTGTTGAGCTCACAGATGAGCCCATGGCCCATGCCCATCACTTGGTTGCCTCCACCCAGAAAGAGCAGCATGGACAGGAGCCCATTGCCACCCAGGGCCCACCACCATGACTTTCCCAGCTCCTCTAAATCAGTATCAACCAGTGGAGGCACCAAAAAGGTCAAGGCCCCGCAGTAACACCTGGTGCCACAACCCAAGGTCACCTCTGTCTTGTTCTTACACGGATTATTAAGAGGAATTCTGAAGCTCTCAATGCATCTCCTAAGACTTAGGACTTGAGGTCTTTCCCTTCTTATAGTTGAAAGAAAGCAAGTCTTTTCCCAACTTCAACATCTTAGTGTCTCTCATCATTCTAGAAAGAGCAGACTTGCCATGATGAAGCCTTCTAATGAACCCTCAGCACCAAGGGGATAGAGAAAAAGTCTCTCCTGGAAACTTTGGGATACCATTGTTGGTACCAGTGTAGACTTTCCATTGAAATACCAGACTACTTAAACTCCCTCTTTGGCATCAGGAGACTTCAGGACAGGCCAGAAGGCCTGGATTGTATTAGCATGATCATTTTTCTGTTGACCTCCTTATGTCCAGTGAGGAATCTCATTTAAGTGAATTTTCAGTCTTTCCTCCGTTCCTGGGTTGTGTGGGATCAGAGTCGTGTCACAAACATCAGTCCTGCAGGGGATGAAGACATGGGGTTTAAATCCACTGCATCTTTACTGGTGGGATTTAAGTTAGAAGTTACTTCATTCTTCCCAGACAGGTTGTTCCAATATCAGGGGCAATCATCTGTGCCTGGTGGCTGTGACCTAATCTGCCTTTTTGTGAGGAGGGAGGAAACAACAGTGGTCTGACCCTCTGAAAAGTCTGAAGGACTAAGGGTTTTCCTAGCCTGGTTGGTGGTGGTGACTCAACCCAGAGTTGATTACTTAAGACAGACAGACAGATTGTTTGAAGCCAAAATACAGTTCTGATTTCCCGATTGTCTACTAGGTTCCAGGCATTGTATGCGCAGCTGCGGACAAGAGCTACTAACTGAATTCTGTAGATTGTCTCTTTAGTTTGCAATCCAATAACTAAGCACTGTTGGCTCAATACTGTCCAGAAAGCACCTGTGTCTCACATGGACTCCCTCACATGTGGAGTCTCTCTGCACCCTGGGGATGAGGGGAGGCATTTGCATGTCATACTTGGCTTCCCATATAGAGACCAAGCTCTAAGATTCTAGATCAAGAAACAGAGCATCCATCCTCTAGAGAGGTCAGAAAAAGGCACTTTTGACAGTGCATGGTCCTCTGGAAATCTGCCTCTCAGTCATCTCCTCCAGCCTTCCTTGTTCTCCAGCTACCTTGATATAGGGTGGAGAAGGAAAGGCTCAATGCAAATCTCACTGCTAAGAAACTTCTTTGGTAGAGCTTGGTCGGAAAGGACTTCAGTCAATATTTGGCCCCTTACTTACTTTCATTGTTAGTAAATGTAGTATTAGTCAGCATGCTGGAATTATATAAAATAAACATTTGTACTTGATAGTTGGGTTTCCCAGAACTATCTGAGCCTATCCAGGAAGTGTCAAGTAAACCTAGTTGCCAAGACTAGTGTTCTCTGCTGGAAAGCAACTGCTTTCTGAAAGCAAAAATGATTAAAAAGTTCTCTGTATTCTTTGTAGTCATGCTCAGATGCCGAGGAGCTCAGAAGATGGGCAACTGTGACCAGTAATAGTCATGTATATAGAGATTAGAAATGCATGTGAAAACGTCTCAATGTCAATAGGCTTGGAATGAATTTTTCTGTATGAAACTGTGTGTTTGACAACGAAGTGGAGATCTTTTTTAAATGTTGGAACCTCATTTAATTTTATGACATAGAGTTTATAATGAGTAAAAGGTTATATAAGCGTAATAATTCATCTGTAAACCTAGAAATGTACAGCCAATTTTGAAAGAGATGTACCCTAGCTC